ATAATAGCTTCACTGTTTGATTAGCTCTTAGTGTTCTTAACAAGAATGCCTTGTTTTACTTCCCCAGTGTATTGCTTGTTGTCTGCACGCTTTTCTGCTGATTTGAAGCGATTTTAGTGAGTTATCGCTTCCCAGGTTTTCCCACTTTGAGAAATTTTTATTAGAGTTCTGTAGTATTTCTACCTCCAAAACCCAATCGTAAATATTCCCATACAAAGTCTCGCTATGACGCAAGCTGATCATCGCACACAGCTTGAGCTTGGACGGCCTGTGTTTGCGCCAGTTGTCTCGAGTAAATTACGCAACAACTAAACTTCAAAGGCAGCTTTAATTAATGCTGCCTCCACATGCAGCTACCACAAACTGGTCAAGTAGGTGTGGGTCATGGCTGATATTTTCGACCGTTATTTGGGTCAACGAAACCAGCAAAATGTAAAGAGCACTATTCACGCTAAGCAACTGAGCAGAACACGGCGATTTAAAATATTTGTTATTTTTTAACACGGCGTATTACACGTTTGTAAATTAACAGAAGCAATTCCAATGTGCTGAACAACATTTTTTTTATTGACAGCTGCTCACTATAAGGTTTCCAGCATCAGCTACGGTGTTGCAAGAGCTTAAAATATCCCGATTACATCACCTTTAACCTACATATGGTTAAAACATATTTTAAGAATCCTTAATCGGTGGCGGACACTGAAAGCTATAAAGCTTACCTACTGTTAACAAGTTCTTACTATACCTTGCAGTTTTTAAGAGGCCGTCGACATATTCACTCGTTCTCCGCTTAATGTCCACTGAACGTTCAGGTAATACTCCACCCCCAGCCCCCTACCGCCTCCTTAAAGTCCACTTGGGATTTTGCAGCCTCAATAGTCACTGCCTTCCGGTTGCTACGGATGTAAAGATATCTACATAACGTTTTGCTTTTAAACCGTGGTAGAAACTATTAAAAACCATTTACCCATTTACCCACAGTATTCAGAAGAGAAAGCCACAATCCTCGGTACCAGGCTTCAAAAAGCCGTCATGAGTCAGACTCTTTCACCATTGCACTTTCTTATTACATCGGAGTATGCTCAAGTCTCAGTTTCTGGCTTTACTCTAAACGTCTTTCTTGAACTGCCTGTTGATTGCACGCTCAAGGAAAAACTTTCTGGTTTTCTTTGTTGTGTGCCTTCCTAGACATGGAGTAAACTTTTATTAAATTGATCATTTTTTAGTCAAAAATACCCCTCACTAACGTCCAAAACTTGAGTCGCTCTGAAGGTCGAGGGGACGTTAAGCGGCCTGGAAACAAGGGAATATGTCAAGCGCCATGGTGTCTCTGCACGTGCAGTTGTTGGTTCTTTCATTTATTTTATTTATTTATCTATTTATTTATTTATTTAAGATTTCTTTATACACGGTTAAAAATCATCAGGTAATGCTAATATTTAAAGTTATATGTGTATATATACAAAACAAAATTAATACTAATAAACTATTAATAAACAGTCCATGCTAAATACTAATTAATAAAAATTGAAGTAGTAGATCCTAATTTAAATTTTCATTGGCTGAAACATTTGGAAAACCAACATAAAGATACCAAAAGGTTGGTCTGTTAAAACCCACCCAAAATATTTCGAAAATGCAATAGCCTCTAACTGTATTATAAATGTAACATTTTGTAAATTGCAATATAGTAAGTTTACAGGAAAACATATTCTATATTTTCCATTTCCCCATAATTCACTCTGTTTGTTTCCCAAAAAATTTTGCATAAAATATTGTTGTCAAATGGAATATGACCTCCCAAGAGCATTTAATTTAAAACTAAAAGTTTATGGAAAATTTAGGGGAGGGGGCAGACAGAGTGAATTATGGGAAATTGGAAAATAGAGCGATAGAATACTGGCAGCTGGTCTTTTCTCTTAGCTATAGGGCCTGAAGATTGTTTACCTGTGAACGCTTCGTGTCTCGACCCAAATTCCTTCTCCCTTCGTAAATTTGAGAGAAACCAGAATGCCAGCAGTCTGGAACACATACAGCAAACTGACTCTAACCTTATTCAAAATTGAGTGATGTACATCATCACAGTGCAGCTTCTAACGTGACATAGCTTTACCACAGTCTTTTTGAGAAAATTTCACGTGATATCTTATTGAGAAGCGTTGCGTGACGACCAAAATAACGGTTGCCGAGAAGACGAGCTGACACGCCGCACACAAATACATCAATGAAACCCTGAAATGATTGAAAGATAGCTTTCCCAAATTTTAATCACTCATTGTGACCGCTTTTGAAATCACTCTTAAAACAAAACTTAAGAAAAAGGACAACCTCATTCTCAGGTTTTCTCATCTTCCCGGGCCGGGAAGATGAGGGAGTCTGGGAACGAGGTTGGACACTGGACATTTTCCCAGAAAGCAACAAAGCAATTTTAGCATAAATTCTAAAAGCGACATTTTTACGTTTTCTTCGCATCAAAAACAACAAAAACAAGTAGCTTTATTTGTATGACGATGAGTACATACAGTGTTGCCAAAGCTTTTGTCAACTAAAACTAAAACAGGAATGATTTTCGTGATCACATAATGAGGTTATGACAAAGCAATCAAATTTTGATGCTTCTCACATGGGAAGTAATTTACATTAAAATTCCGGTTGGACCATAAAACATGTTCATAGTAATTCGTTAATTTATTACACTTAACCGAGCTGGAAGGATGGCACTATCTTGCGCGTTGTCTTGTCAAATTGACGCTCGGTCAGGAAAGCTTAGCATTAATTGGCCGAGATCTACTTTTACGGGTTTATGGACCTCGACTGCGTCTTGGTCAGTAAACACGCATACAACGCATCTCAACCACTGAGTCCCCTTGATCTCACACTTGCTTGCTACTTTGCAAAGATGGACACCTTATTTGTCTGGGGTGGGTGGGGAATTGCCTAGCTCCTTCACGGCTCTCTCCAAGTCCTTCCGGGTTAATTGATTTCGGTGACGTATCCGAAACAAACGGCCCGCAGTAGCCTACACAATAACAGAATGCGCATGCGTTTGGATCAGCAGCAGAATGTTTCTTGTTGATTTCGGCTAAGCTTCAGGGATTTCATTTCAGTTTTCGTGTGCAAACTTGCTGCCATCTTGGCCAACAGCATCAAAATCAGTGTGCATTCATCATAGTTTTCGCTAAGAGTTTTCGTTAATAGTTAATTGATGTGTATCAGATGATAGTAATTTTTAATGTTTTAGACTTTATAGCCTTGTAAATTGCGTAAATCTTCGTATTTTAGGAATACACGTACGTATTTTGAACGAGCTTGTAAAGCTCTTAGACTAACGTGTCTAAATCAAGTATTGTATTGCATTGCATTGCATTGCATTGCATTGCATTGCATTGCATTGTATTGTATTTCGTGCTTGTGTTTGAATTACGTGTGAACATTGAATATGAAGTGAATTAACCCTTAATATTGCAGTCGGGCTTTTTACCCAAGTTGTGTTGTATTCCATGGCATACAAAAAGGTTGGAAGTTGGAATTGAATGTTGAAATTAAATTCATGTGAAGCACGACATCTGAACCAAATTATAATTTGTCTTCTTGCAGTTGCATGTAAATAGATTAATGCACTTTGGGTCATCCTGCTCCTTTTTGCCGACTTTTCTTACATTTTTCACAGGACGGCTTTGGATTGTGCTTGGTTGTTGTCTGCTATGTTTTCAGGGGTTCGGCACGAATCAGCGATGATCGAAATGCCTTTTTACCTCCTAGTTAGTTCGGCTGGAATTGAGATCGGCGTTTGAATCAATTCAGCCGGGCTAAATTAATTTGGTTTGACCCAATGATTCGAATTCGATTCGGATCATGTGAAGTACGGCGTATGAGTCCCGTCCATATTACGAAGGAGGAATTTAAAAGCGGAGGTTTCACTCTGAAAGCGCAACAAATGTTTTCCATCCACACTATGCCGGAGGAATTTTAAAACGGAACAATAACCGGTCATTTTAGATTTGCGTTTGAGGGAAACTCGTCGTTTTCTAAAAGCCGAGCTCCGTTTTAAAAACGTTTTCCGGCCACACGAACACAAAAAGCCGTTCGTTGGGCATGGTAAATTGAGTGGTGAGGTGACTTCTTTGTATGAATGAAATACAGTAATCTGAAAAGCGTGGATTAGTACGTATTGCATAATTCGGACCGCTAACGGAAAAAATCCGAATTCTTCTTTTCATCGCAGACCTGTTCAGCCACATAATGAATAACTGAACGAAGTAAGGAGAGAAAATAGTGTGGTTTTACTTTTAGTTTATTTATCCGCTTTCGCTGTTTAAAGATTAGAAAACACGAAGTGGATGTTTCGGTGAACTTTTCAGCAGCAATTGTTTTCTCAGTTTAGTNAGTTTATTTATCCGCTTTCGCTGCTTAAAGATTAGAAAACACGAAGTGGATGTTTCGGTGAACTTTTCAGTAGCAATTGTTTTCTCAATTTAGTAACCATAGCACGTACGTACCAAGAGAACATTCTCTTGCTGGTACTGTACCAGGTTTTACAGTGCTGCAGTCAGGGTGTTTCATCCGCATTGCGCTTGAGAACAGAGAGCTTGAAAGTTCACAATGATTCGATAATTTAGGGATCTAAATAATTCTAAAACCAGGTCACTGAGCAGTAACGTTAACACTAATAGAAAAAGTTAGCCATCTTACAACGATCAAAGATGTTGCATAGCGAAGTGTGAAGTAATCATTGTACAATAGTTAAAGCCAGAGTGCTAAAAATCTGCGACGCAAATTCTTCTTCATGGAGAACTGTTCAGAAAAACTAAATGTTTATGAAACTTGAAATACATGAAACCAGGGAAACGGTTGTCACTAAGTCAATCGAATTCCAAAGGCAATCAGAACTTTTTTTACTGATACCTTACTAATGCCTGATTAATAACGCTCGACTCTTTCTGGTTTGTTCAATGAATATTTTTTCATCTTGCTCTTAATCTGGCCTAATTAATAATTACCAGTATACGTCGTGCATAAAGTAGTTGAATTTTTCTGCAGTAATGTAACGTTCACATGACCATGGCCAGTTGTTTTAAAACAACATTCATTTTGCTGATCTGTTCCAGCGTTATAAGATCCTCCCCCTCCCCCACAGGAGTCAGGTTTATCATCTCCACTGCCTCCACCAGAGTACCCTCCATCGCCGCCAGCAGCTCCTACTATTCCAGGTGCACCAGCACCACCACCAAATCCTCTGACAGCATTGTTATGCCGGGCTCTTCCGCCCACTCCTACCAGCAAAAATCCCTTACCTCCTTCTCCACCTACCGCTATGTTGCCAAAAAAATTCGTTCCACCTCTCCCACTGGAGTAAAACCCACCACCACCCCCACCTAAAAGAAAAGAAATATAGACTCATTGCTGTATCTATTATACCTGGAATNAAACTAAAAGTTTATGGAAAATTTAGGGGAGGGGGCAGACAGAGTGAATTATGGGAAATTGGAAAATAGAGCGATAGAATACTGGCAGCTGGTCTTTTCTCTTAGCTATAGGGCCTGAAGATTGTTTACCTGTGAACGCTTCGTGTCTCGACCCAAATTCCTTCTCCCTTCGTAAATTTGAGAGAAACCAGAATGCCAGCAGTCTGGAACACATACAGCAAACTGACTCTAACCTTATTCAAAATTGAGTGATGTACATCATCACAGTGCAGCTTCTAACGTGACATAGCTTTACCACAGTCTTTTTGAGAAAATTTCACGTGATATCTTATTGAGAAGCGTTGCGTGACGACCAAAATAACGGTTGCCGGGAAGACGAGCTGACACGCCGCACACAAATACATCAATGAAACCCTGAAATGATTGAAAGATAGCTTTCCCAAATTTTAATCACTCATTGTGACCGCTTTTGAAATCACTCTTAAAACAAAACTTAAGAAAAAGGACAACCTCATTCTCAGGTTTTCTCATCTTCCCGGGCCGGGAAGATGAGGGAGTCTGGGAACGAGGTTGGACACTGGACATTTTCCCAGAAAGCAACAAAGCAATTTTAGCATAAATTCTAAAAGCGACATTTTTACGTTTTCTTCGCATCAAAAACAACAAAAACAAGTAGCTTTATTTGTATGACGATGAGTACATACAGTGTTGCCAAAGCTTTTGTCAACTAAAACTAAAACAGGAATGATTTTCGTGATCACATAATGAGGTTATGACAAAGCAATCAAATTTTGATGCTTCTCACATGGGAAGTAATTTACATTAAAATTCCGGTTGGACCATAAAACATGTTCATAGTAATTCGTTAATTTATTACACTTAACCGAGCTGGAAGGATGGCACTATCTTGCGCGTTGTCTTGTCAAATTGACGCTCGGTCAGGAAAGCTTAGCATTAATTGGCCGAGATCTACTTTTACGGGTTTATGGACCTCGACTGCGTCTTGGTCAGTAAACACGCATACAACGCATCTCAACCACTGAGTCCCCTTGATCTCACACTTGCTTGCTACTTTGCAAAGATGGACACCTTATTTGTCTGGGGTGGGTGGGGAATTGCCTAGCTCCTTCACGGCTCTCTCCAAGTCCTTCCGGGTTAATTGATTTCGGTGACGTATCCGAAACAAACGGCCCGCAGTAGCCTACACAATAACAGAATGCGCATGCGTTTGGATCAGCAGCAGAATGTTTCTTGTTGATTTCGGCTAAGCTTCAGGGATTTCATTTCAGTTTTCGTGTGCAAACTTGCTGCCATCTTGGCCAACAGCATCAAAATCAGTGTGCATTCATCATAGTTTTCGCTAAGAGTTTTCGTTAATAGTTAATTGATGTGTATCAGATGATAGTAATTTTTAATGTTTTAGACTTTATAGCCTTGTAAATTGCGTAAATCTTCGTATTTTAGGAATACACGTACGTATTTTGAACGAGCTTGTAAAGCTCTTAGACTAACGTGTCTAAATCAAGTATTGTATTGCATTGCATTGCATTGCATTGCATTGCATTGCATTGCATTGTATTGTATTTCGTGCTTGTGTTTGAATTACGTGTGAACATTGAATATGAAGTGAATTAACCCTTAATATTGCAGTCGGGCTTTTTACCCAAGTTGTGTTGTATTCCATGGCATACAAAAAGGTTGGAAGTTGGAATTGAATGTTGAAATTAAATTCATGTGAAGCACGACATCTGAACCAAATTATAATTTGTCTTCCTGCAGTTGCATGTAAATAGATTAATGCACTTTGGGTCATCCTGCTCCTTTTTGCCGACTTTTCTTACATTTTTCACAGGACGGCTTTGGATTGTGCTTGGTTGTTGTCTGCTATGTTTTCAGGGGTTCGGCACGAATCAGCGATGATCGAAATGCCTTTTTACCTCCTAGTTAGTTCGGCTGGAATTGAGATCGGCGTTTGAATCAATTCAGCCGGGCTAAATTAATTTGGTTTGACCCAATGATTCGAATTCGATTCGGATCATGTGAAGTACGGCGTATGAGTCCCGTCCATATTACGAAGGAGGAATTTAAAAGCGGAGGTTTCACTCTGAAAGCGCAACAAATGTTTTCCATCCACACTATGCCGGAGGAATTTTAAAACGGAACAATAACCGGTCATTTTAGATTTGCGTTTGAGGGAAACTCGTCGTTTTCTAAAAGCCGAGCTCCGTTTTAAAAACGTTTTCCGGCCACACGAACACAAAAAGCCGTTCGTTGGGCATGGTAAATTGAGTGGTGAGGTGACTTCTTTGTATGAATGAAATACAGTAATCTGAAAAGCGTGGATTAGTACGTATTGCATAATTCGGACCGCTAACGGAAAAAATCCGAATTCTTCTTTTCATCGCAGACCTGTTCAGCCACATAATGAATAACTGAACGAAGTAAGGAGAGAAAATAGTGTGGTTTTACTTTTAGTTTATTTATCCGCTTTCGCTGTTTAAAGATTAGAAAACACGAAGTGGATGTTTCGGTGAACTTTTCAGCAGCAATTGTTTTCTCAGTTTAGTAACCATAGCACGTACGTACCAAGAGAACATTCTCTTGCTGGTACTGTACCAGGTTTTACAGTGCTGCAGTCAGGGTGTTTCATCTGCATTGCGCTTGAGAACAGAGAACTTGAAAGTTCACAATGATTCGATAATTCAGGGATCTAAATAATGCTAAAACCAGGTCACTGAGCAGTAATGTTAACACTAATAGAAAAAGTTAGCCAGATCTTACAATGATCAAAGATGTTGAATAGCGAAGTGTGAAGTAATCATTGTACAATAGTTAAAGCCACAGTGCTAAAAATCTGCCACGCAAATTCTTCTTCATGGAGAACTATTCAGAAAAACTAGATGTTTTATGAAACTTGAAATACATGAAACCAGGGAAATGGTTGTCACTAAGTCAATTCAATTCCACTGGCAATGAGAACTTTTTTTTTTACTGATACCTTACTAATACCTCACAAATAACGCTTGACCATTTTCGGTTTGTTAAATGGACAATTTTTCATCTTGCTATAAATCTGGCCTAATTAATAATTACCAGTACTTTAGTATACGTCGTGCATAAAGTAGTTGAATTTTTCTACAGTAATGTAATGTTCACATGACCATGGCCAGTTGTTTTAAAACAACATTCATTTTGCTGATCTGTTCCAGCGTTATAAGATCCTCCCCCTCCTCCACAGGAGTCAGGTTTATCATCTCCACTGCCTCCACCAGAGTACCCTCCACCGCCGCCAGCAGCTCCTCCCCATCCAGGTGCACCAGCACCACCACCAAATCCTCCGTCCGCATTGTTATGCCGGGCTCTTCCGCCCACTCCTCCCTGCAAAAATCCCTTACCTCCTTCTCCACCTACCGCTATTTTGCCAAAAAAATTCGTTCCACCTCTCCCACTGGAGTAAAACCCACCACCACCCCCACCTAAAAGAAAAGAAATATAGACTCATTGCTGTATCTATTATACCTGGAATAGACGTTTTTCATTCGTTTTAGCAATATTCTCTTCTCATTTCTTTGTAACGTTTTATACAATTAAAGATAACGTCATTGGTTTGCGGTTGAAGGAACAATGAATAAAAATGGGAAAGGAATGTAGATTTAGCGAATCAGAGCTACCTATGCATGGTAAAATATAAACTAGTGGAGGTTTAAAATTGATCAACGAGGTTTAAACTGAAACTTCATGGAAAACAAAAAGCAAACAACAACAAAACAAAAGCAAAACAAAAAAGCTGTGCGTTCTTCGATTGTTTTTACTCATTTTAGTCTAATCACTCACGCTCGCTTGTTGTTTGTGATTGGCTACCCTAGTGGACAAGATGGAGCTATCTTGCCCGCTCGGGATCACCCCCTGTTTTCCGCAAGAATATGGGATTGTTCTTTATGCCATATAATAAATCTTTTTTGACCAAGCTTGCTCGGCCATAACACCGACGTTACAGCGGTGATAAACATCGTATTCCAATGCATTTTAATACTAAACTTAACGTTTTGTATGCTAGTCAACATTCGTTTTCAAAAGTGACCGTTACAAATTTTTGAAATACTATTTATATCCGGCGTAATTATTAAAAGTCTGGACCCTAGACTGAGAAAAACTGATCAATGATTGCAGCAGTAATTTGACCTATCTAGACGACATGAGAAGTAACAGCTGAAAGTAAGGTGATAGCACCTTTAGGGCTACCATTTTGCAGCAGGAGCTTTCTCGGATCTTTAAGAGCGGTTAGTAACAAAGATGGTAAGGAACAAATTCGGAAGCAACGAAAGGTGAGTGTGCGAATGAGGTCGATTTTCTACTTGTGAGGTGTGAATGAGTCATACTTAGTGTAGAGGCCTTTGAATGTCTTCTTCCGGTAGACAAATACCTGGGACCACTTTCACATAAAAAGGTCGGGGATGCTGGGCATCTCGCTTAGGACTATAAATTAAGTATTGCAGTTTCACTTTGGGTTTACATGACGAATCGCCACTCTTTTTAGCTGTCAAAGTATTATTTAGGGTGGACTCGAAGAAATAATAATAAAAAGCCACTCTCGTTTCCATTTCCAGGTTTGATTTCCCCCGATCTCCCCAGTACGGTCCACTAGTGTGGTCTCCTTTCCTGAAGAACAGCTGGTAATCAAGCCTGTTCCGTGCTAAATGGTATCTTTTAGGAGTCAAGAAAAGCTCGAGCTACGCCCAGGTAGATCTCGTTTAGGAGTTTTTAAATCAAAATTTCAGACGAGCATCCACGAATTTTTCATACAGGAGTACCCCCCTCCCTCCCGGGGGACAGCCGTGTTGTCGGGGCAGCGTATTGACATTGATGTCTAAACATGGAATCTTATTGTCTTTTTCAAATTAAAGTAAATTTGATGCTATCGTGTCGACTATTTAGACTTCATTTAAACTCAGTAGCAGTGTTTTTGCTATCAAACATGCTGAAAGTGAAGTGTCATCAACATATCTGAACCAAAGAGAAGGCCATCTTTGTTGCAAGCCGCTCTTAAAGATCTGAGAATGCTCCGGCTGCAAAATGGTCACCCTCTTGGTAAAATGCTGAACGTTATATCTCTGATGAGCTTAACAATAAGATTCCTGTAAAAACTGATGTTGATTACATAATGTATTGTTACCTGCATAATCACCATCAGCAATCTGTGCTCCATGTCCATGGCTCCCTCCTGACCATGATCTGTACCCAGGGTTCCCTGTTGTGCTCGTGCTGGCATCACATCCTGCATGTCTTGAGGATACCCTATCAACGCCTCCTCCACCTCCAGCTATTATCAATGACGTGATGCTTCTTCTCACCACAAATGTTCCGCCACCGCCCCCAGAACCATAGCGTCCTTTGTTAATTCCTCCTTCTTGGCCAACCAGTATTTGAATAATTTCACCTTTGCACAAGCTGAAAGTTCCAATCATTCTTGCACCTCTTCCTCGAAA